GCATATATAGCAATAGGAGAGGAGCGTACTTTTTGCCGTGGTTTGCGACGATGACTCCATTACTTAAAATGTAAAAGTCACCTGTCGAATGTAAAAGTAAGTCTCTTCAAAAAACTCCGATATAAGGTTTTATAGTATAAAAAAGTAGGGGGTCAAATTTCTATGGGGTTCATTGCTGGTCTGGAATGTTTTTCTACAGTCGAAAAATGACCCTACTTGTCCTAGAATATTGACCTGGGTCATTTTTCTACGTAGAAAAATGACCCCCCTGGTCTACGGGGGTCACTTTTCGTCGTTACACCGGTCATCCCTTGTGCTCCTTGTCAGGATCCGAAAATAACGGAAAGATCCGTCGACATTTCTGTGTATTAATAGCAATATCTATTGGAAAACCCATGGAAACCAACTGTGTTCAATTATTCGCAAACCTAGTTTTGTATTCATATCGAAGCAGAATGTATTCAAAATCTTATACTTGAGAATAATGAAACACTTGCTGTGGATTTCAGCTCGATATTTAAATGTACATATATCGACGACAAATAACATTAGTATTATGAATAGTTATTTCCATTCATATATGTCGAAAGGATATATCCCGGTTTCCTTGAAATAAAAGATACTACAGAGTTTGACACATCTGCTTCATGTTTGAATATTTCATTGGGAAAATACGATAATGACAATCTATCGACAAAGGTTTAGAACATGATGACTTTAACTTTTCAGTCGTCAAATTCCCTTATTTTTGGAACAATACACCTTATCTGCATACGGAGTTTTTATTTCTCAGTTGATTCGATACGCAAGAACATGCTCTACATATGAACAATTTCTAAAACGAGGAAAGCTATATACAAACAAGTTTATGAAGCAAGAATATCAGGTGTAAAGTCGTAATTTTCTTACGTCTATGATCTGTGCAATGACCTTGTCATTAAAAATATGTCTTGAAATCGAATTCTTTTCTTATATTGAGGGGCCCGTAGTCGACTGCAAATTTAGACCTCTACTCGGCACTAAGGGCCATTGAGCATTGAGGGATCCTTTTCTTGTCAGCGTCTACTGCGACACTTGACTTCGGTTTATACGGTCTCATCCAAAAGGACCAGTTTTCACTTCAGCAGTTCGATCTCTTGATTTATAAGATTGTCATTCTAGATATACATTTAATTTTTTTAATCCAAAAATTTTCCCAAGTGAAACCCCAACTATATCATTAAGAATATAGAAATGAGTCAGTCAGAAATATGGCAATAACATTTGACATTAGGTACAAAAAGCTCCTCAGTGTAAAATCATATAAATCGTAAATTTATACTGGAATTTGAAATCAATGCACAAGCAAAATTATTCCTCTATAAGCGTCCGAAAAAAGTCCAATTTTGTTGGGGTTTTTTCTTTAATACTTTTATCTGTTTCTGATTGTAGGTTGAATTTCTTTAAAAATATATTCTTAACGAAATTTTACAATTTTATAATGAGCTATATCGTAAATTAAATCACTTAAAAAAATACAGTTCACTTTCTGTTTGATTTTATACAATCATTAGTTTAAAACGTGATTTATTTCCCTTATATATTCATTTAGTTTCGATTTGACAAAAACTTTATTTTCTATAAAATAACGTTCAATATATCAGGTTAAAATATTACGAGTATTTAAATCTACATCTGCTACAGTAGAAATAAGTTTATCAACCAACAGGACAAAGCTATAATTGCAAGTTATCATTATTGATTTTGTAGTATGTAATGTTTATATTTGCTCTTGCCCAAACTGATTTCGTTCAGATGTTGATATACTCCTGATAATGATTGAAGACTGGAGTGCCTTGCCATAGTGCTCTATAGGGCTTGAGGAAGCCTGTCAAATAAACCATTGTTGCTACTTACTGCCATGTACGGCAAAGAAAGGCTACAAACATACTACATATTGTAATACACCTATGATATTACCTGTGGTGTACACGATGTCGAGATCTAAATATATGCACATCGATCTACACTCATGTACAAAACAAGTAAAGAGCACGTGTTGACCCGCTAATGGGTAAATGGAGCAATGACTGCTCCATATGCCTATGGCAGCGTAGGCACTTCATGATTTTTGTTTTAAATGTTTTTATTTTTTTAATTATCAGTAATATTGAAAAGTCTTTTAAAAATTGAATAGAAGGATATAGCCATACTTTTGGTCTATATATACTCAGTACTGAGTTACCAATGTATTTTTGCATGATAAAAATTAAGACCACACAATATTCAAATTAACGGGTTTTCTGAACTTTTCTCACCTAAAAACTTGTTTTCCTTCAATAAACCCAACTTGAATTTATAAAAAATCGGGCAAGATTTATTTGTGTAAGCCTTTTTATATAACAGTTATAAATGTGTTTTGTTGGAAAGCATTCTGGTTAATTGTGAATACAGGTACTCCAGGGATGATGTTGGAAGGATGTCTGAGTTTTTGGTTGATAGTGTCTGCGTTGTATATGGATGAAGATATGGAGATATACAATATTCAATATCAAAATCCATAAAACAATACAAAATAGGAGCAGAGCAAACAAGAACCTCCAAAATATCAGAGGTGGAATCAGGTGCCATGGAGGAGTGAGCATCCCCTGCCGACCGGTCACACCCGCCGTTTACTCCTTGTCATAATCGGGATATAACGGAAAAATCCGTCGTCAATTCAGTGTATAAACACTGGACTGACAATTAGTATGAAAAACGTCAGTAAGCATTTGACTCGATCAATGATAAATTGTATTTGCTGACAAAGTCATTGTATCGACCATAGAACTTACGAAATGGTGACTTTTAACTAGACTGCTGACATTCTTGTTTCATCAACTTGTTTGTGAATAATTTACCTCGTTTTAGAAATTGTTCATACGTAGAAAATGCTCTTGCGTATCGAATCAACTGAGATATATAAAGTCCGTATGCAGTTGATAAAGGTATATTGCTGCATAAGTAAGGGAAGTTTACGATAGAAAAGTTAAAGTCATCACGTTTATCATGTAGTCTGGTTCTTAGATTACCATTAACATTTTCAAGTAAAGTATCCAAGTATGAAACAGATGTGTCAGACTCTGTGGTATCTTTTATTTCAAGCTCACCAGGATATATCGTATCGACATAGGAATGGAAATTGCCAGTTAATTGACAATACGTCGTGGATATATCTAAATGTTGAGTTGAAGGCCATAACAAGTGTTTTCTTCTTTTCACGCATAAGATTTTTCACGAATTCTATGGGAATTCCAAAAGATTGTTGGAAGACCTGGTCTCCAAAAACCCCAAAGATATTGTTAATCAGAAACTCAAGCATCCTTTTTATGTCAACTTCAGAGTACTCGTGTGTGCAATCAGAATGTGTTTTAACAAAATAATTTTGCAAATGACCAATGACCAGGTAAGTAAATTTACGAGTTCCATTTTTATTTAAAAAGCAGCTGTCAATGATAACAAAAACCTTGGACTTTAATTTATCATGAGGGCCATTGTTGTGTATAAAGTTGAAAAGTCTAAGTTTTTAGGCTGCTGATTTTGGTAAAATCATCCAGTCTATTGGAGTTCCAAAGAATACCAATTGCAAACCATTATGTGATGGTCTATTTTGGTATTTATCTGAAGCAGAATTTATCAAAAACATATGCACGAGAAGAAGAAAACACTTGCCATGACCTTCACCTCGACATTTTGACGACGTTTTTCAAACAACAATAATTACTTGAATCATATGCATATATCGACTCGATATATCCCAGTGAACTTGAAATAAAATATACCACAGTATGTTACATATTTTGAATATTTACTAGGAAAAAGTCATTTGGGTGGCTCACTATTGTAAGAGCTTCTGTTGTAGATTTGCTGAAAAAGGAGTTGATTCTAAATAAAATAACTTTTGACCTGTGACTTAAACCTCTAAGTATATTTTTGATCATTTTGTATTTTTTAAAACTCTAAGTAAAAGTATAATTCTTAAAGATGTTTTCTGTACTAATGATGTCATACTCTTATATCCCTAGAATATGTTACTAGAACAACTTTCGAGATTTAATACTGATTTAATACTGATGTCTAGAGTTTTTCCTTAATTTCGTAAATTACAATTTCTCCGTTCTGCTTCCCGACCCAGAGTCTGTCTCGGCTGTCTGCAGCAACTGCTACAGGGCGTTGGATTCCTCTGATAACTGTTATAAATTGCCAACCAATAAGGCAACAGACGCGGTCGTTCTGGTAATCACATACAAAAACGTTTCCTTTTCTATCGCAACAAATGGATATTGGGTCAAAAGTAGCCAGATATGATTTAGAGGGACCAACAGATCGGAAAAAATCAAAATCCTTTGTAAAACACGCAATACTTTGTTTTGACCTGTCTAAACAGTACACTTTATCTCCACCAAGTGCCATTCTATCAGCAGATACGACATACTCCAGTTCAACAATATTTAACGTCTCACCGCTGCTTGACAAAGTCTCCACACGGTTTTCTGTTAGAAGTATCATGATCTCGCCCTTGTTGCTCAAAGTCACAGAGCGGAGATCTGGTTTAGAAAAGGGTGACTTGCTTTCTCCTTTTTTCTCTTCAACAGAGATCCATATTGGTGCTTTGGAAAATCGCAATTCCTCTCCTGAGGGTACAAATAATATCTGAGTTATATTGCCTCTGACTACGGACATCAAGTTACCTTCCTCTGAATAAAGAGCGCCCGCTATTTGTTGGGATTGCTTTGGTGATTTATTCACGTGTTGAAATAAAATCCAGGATTTGTACCATCCAGGGATGGAAATATTTCTGAAATCACGTTGTTGACGGGACAATCGCTTTGAAAATGGAGTGTTTCCTGGAGTGTTAAATCGATTGATGTAAAATTTAACTTTCCGATAGTTTGGGTTTGAGCTTCGAACCCAGAAGGAACAAATACTGGAAGAGTATAGGAATTTACTGTGCATTGCTCACTGCAGAGTTCCTTCATTTTCAAGTTCTGTAAGGAAGCGTTAGCTTGTGTTACATCGGGTAGTACCCCATGCTTCAGAACTTGCTGAATATAGACACACTGGCATTTTAGGGAAACGGTGGATTGAGCAATGGCAGAATGTTTGTCTTCCAGAAACGATTTTTCTTTTTCAAAATGAGTGTCTACTTCGTTGACCAATTTGCCTTCAAGCGTTCTAATGCGCTCAACAATATGTTGTGTTTGTTCTTTGATAGACTGAATAAGATTATCTCGTTTCCCATTAAGATCTTTTAGTACCTTCATAGAGTCTTCTCTTGTAGTTAATAACATTTCATTTAAGTTGGTCAAATTCTTCAGTTTTGAGTCCAATGCCTTCTTCGAATTTTCAGCAATGATATCTAAGTCTTCTGTTTTATGCCCTTCGTGTTTCGTAAGTTTACAATCACGACATATATTAGTCTCGCACTGACAACAAAAAAACTTAAGTTCTTCTTTTCTATGCCTTGGGCAGTAAAAAGTCTGCGTTTGCATTCCTTGGATTTCATTACCAATATCACCGCTTCGATGCGACCTGGTTGTCTTCAAATTTTGGTGAATCCTGTAACAATTTGGGCAAAGGTTCTGGTCGCAATCAAAACATCGCTTTGTCGCTTTGTCGCCGTTCTCGCATGCTTGACAGAGAGCTTCTTTTTCTTTGAGCAGCATTTCCATATAGTAGTTATGTTTGATCCCATCAATGCCATTTTTAGGTATCGAATATTCATGTCGACAAAGAGGGCACAAAATTATCTTTCGATCTCCAGTGTGTTCACAAAGCTTTTCAAGACAGTCCTTGCAAAAAGTATGTAAACAATCCAGTAGTTTAGGTTCTGTGAATGGTTCGAAGCAAAGTGGACATTTAATTGTGTCGTTCTCTGTTTCCAATTGTTGTTCTTTGGACGAAGCCATGGGGAACGTGACTCTACTTTCGTTTTGTGAAACATAGTGACACGTACAGTAAATATTCATTATCACAACTTTTTTAAAAAATTTAAAAAGAAGAATGTGTAAATTAATTTATTATATAAACAACAAAGCCATGATTGGTCATATTTTTACGTCCGAATCATCCTCAGGTAGTGTAGATTCAAATTCGTTCAAATCATGACCCCTGGTGATAGGGTTGGGCCAATCTTATAGGTAAAAACATTTTTTGTATTTAAGCTTTTTCAAAGTTTTTTTTTAATACTGGATTGATTTTTGCCTTCTATTTTAGCCACAGTGTTAAGGTTAGCAATGAGACCCATGGACTATTGTGTTTCTTTATATTCTTTTACCTTCGGCCATGGCATGACTGCAATTACACTCACTGGTCTGTACACTTCACTTTTTTTCATTTCGAAAATAAAATTTTTGTGTGAGGAAATTTAATTGAGTATGTATGGGCTTATCTCTAGCCAAAGATATAGTAAATTATATTATATTGTATTACAGTATTTTACGAATGTTTACTTTTATAAATCAGTAACACTCATAGCGTACCTTTAACTTATGATGCCACTTATACTTTAATTTTATTTACTACGAAACTTTACTTCAAGAGTTTAAGGTCATTATGCATATATTCTGACCCTTTTCAAACGTGTTTTAATTATCTTTTGGCAGTTGCTGAACAGTTTTCAGGGTTATTTACATAACTTAAATGAAACAAGTATTTTTTTTCACATTCTAGAAACTTGAACCAGCAGAAAATGTGAGAAAACATAATTTCTTTAAATTCTAAACCCTGTACTTTATTATCTTCCATTACTTTGTATCGAGGTTTTAGACACACAAAAGATAAAACCCTTGGTTGCTACAGCTAGAATAACTGATATACTTATTCATACTGCTAGTGTGTATACTTTCCAGAAGAGAAGCAAAGGATTATTTTTCTACATCCCATAGATCCCAAATGTTTCTCCCTATTATGCAGTATTACTATAGTATGCAGTATAAGTGCAAGGTAGCATATCCGTGAAAAGAAATCATGTGTTTCAAATGCCATACTTTCATTATTGATATTTTTGTTATTTCCCTTCCACTAAATTTTTAATGTAACTATCATTAAAATAAATTTAGAAAATAATGTCAAGGGAGTAAATAGCCATTAGTTCTCCACAAATATCTAAAATATGAAATGATTTCAAATTTATCGTTAAAGGACATATTTTTAAAGTTTTTCTATAATAACAACAGATTTTCCATCTATGATATTCAAAACTTTAGACATGTTTTCCTCTCTTATCCGTGGCTTCTTTCTATAAATAGTATTAGGAACATAAATCCAGTGGAGTGCTGTTGCCATAGAACCCAACATGAAACCGATCGAAAACATAGATCCACGAACAAACCTTTACAATCAAAAACAACCCTAAAAACCTATTGTGACCAAAGTCAACGAACCTTCATGCCTATGGCGTCACATGCACTTCAATTTTGTAAATCAGAGATTCTTTATGTATCGACAATCTTGTTGAGTTGCTTTAATGAACGTGTGTGAGGGTGGAATGGGTTTAGATTAATCAAATTCTAATTGCTAGGCCATTATTAAGGTACATTGATACTCTGATAAGAGAGATAACTCTTAATGACACAAATGTCTATAATTCCTTTGTATATTTGTCACCCCGCAAGCCATGATACAATTGTTTGTATTTTATTCAGCATATACTTTCCTTTGGAAAATCATAATAGTTAAAGAAAAATTTCATATAAGTGAGCAGAGGGTTTATGAACCTTAACACACTGATTTGTCGAAGAATTTCCGCCATTTCCCGATCATGACAAGAAGTACTCGGCGGGTGTGACCGGTCGGCAGGGGATTGCTCATTCCCCTATGGTACATTATCCCATCTCTGATGTTTTGGTGGTCCGTGTTTGCTCTGCTCCTATTTTGTATTGCTTAAATGGACTTTTAGAGTTTAAAACTTTTGTAATCTCCAAAAATTCACTTCTGTCTTACCAAACACTTAATCTGGTTGATACCATCGAAAGTCAGCATCATAACTGTCCTTGGTCTTCACTTTTGTACTCCATGATATTTCAAATTGAAGACTACACTTTGTATTTTCTACAAATGCTTCTAATTTTACAGAGCCAGGATATCGAATATCTGAAACATAATCCTCCTTCCTTTGTTCTTCTTCACCCTACATCTATAATCCTGTTGTACACATTATTACTAGTGACTAATATATTTTAGAGAATTATGAGGACCTTAAAGCATTAATCTTAAAAGGGCCAAAATTTTGGGAACCGCGATCTTTTAAATTTCAAAAATATGATGATTTACGCCAGGCGATGGAAAAACGTGAAAAAGAAGACTTTGACACGTTGTAGAATGGATTAAATGTATCAGATACATGTTAAAATCGCGCAATAAGTGATTGAAGGACAAAATAAAAACCATCTATCCTTCTGTCTTCAGTAATTCAAAAATTAAAAAAGAATAGGATAGATTACACGATGGTATTAGGAGAAAATAATTCTCCAAAGTCATATGTCAGTTTTTTAATATTTTTAATATCCCATATCCCTAACAACCAAATGAATTTGAATTACCATTTCCATATTACTCAGTCACAGAACTTTATAAAAAATCCTTTCAAAGACACATAGCGGGTTCAGTAAATGTTCTTACCAAGCCTCTTTCTTTACTCCACACTAAGATATAAACAGCAGTGAAGAAGAAACTTCGGAAGAGTACTGGGCAACAATATATTCGAGAAGTGGTCTGAGAATCAGATGTGGACACTCATAAATTCCAAGGAATCATTTTAAAATTTGAAATCATAAAATTTTTAATTCACAAAACAAAAACTTACGACTTATCAACCTCATACACAACCGTTCAACCGTAAAAAATATGGATTATACACGAGCACTCTGAAGTTGACATTTAAAAGATGCTCGAGTTTCTGATTGACAATATATGTCATTTTTGGAGACCAGGTTTCTAACAATGTATTGCAGTTTCATGGGTACACATTGCGCCTCGTTATAAGCAGGCCTATTTTTATATTCATATGAAGCAGAATTTGTTCAAATCTCTTACGTGAAAAAAAAAACATTTGCTGTGGCCTTCAACTCAACAATAAGAAAATATTATATTCACTATATTGATGCAATGTCAATTAACAATGGTTATTTCCATTCTGATGTCGATACGATATACATATAAGCTTGAAATAAAAGATACCATAGAGTGCTTGACACATATCTGTTTCATATTTGGATATTTTACTTGAGAAAGACCTTATTGGTAATCTAACAACCAAGTCTTTTTATGATATACGAGATGACATTAACTTTTCAATCGTCAATTTCCTTTACTTATGCAGCAATACCTTCATCGTCCGCATACGGGGTTAAAATATCCCTTGGGTTGCTTGAATACGCAAGAGACATATGCAGTTATGAAGAATATCTAAAACGAGGTAAGTTATTGACAAACAAGTTGATGAAACAAGAATATCAGGAATATCGTTTAGGTCATCATATCGTAAGTTCTATGGTAGATACAATGACCTTGTCAGCAAATACAATTTATCATTAATTCATATGCTGACGTTTTTCATACTAATTGTTTCATACTTTATTACACACACTGAATTATCGATTTTCCGTTATTTCCCGATCATGACAAGGAGGGTTAGGCGGATGTGACCGGTCGACAGGGGACGCTCACACCTCCATGGCACCTGATCCCACCTCTGATGGTTTAGAGGTGTTTGTTTGCTCTGCTACAATTTTTTGTATTATTAAATGGACTTTTGAGCTTGAATATTGTTTGTTATCTCCATATATTTCAAAGACATTACTGACCCCTTCTACACCTGGGCTGTAGCCTTTGATATGATATAGTTCAGTAAATAAAGTTTTGAATGGGAAAAATACATTTCCAATTTCTGTATCTGAAAGAATTTGAGAACCATAAAGAATACCAGTGTACACTCTAGATAGCTTTAGAAATGCATAAAAGCACATAAGAAAAAACATTTCTTAAGATAGAGAGCACAATGGTATTTGTTGACAAGGTTATTGCATCGACCAAAGAACTTACGATATGATGACTTTAAACGATATTTCTGATATTCTTGTTTCATCAACTTGTTTGTCAATAATATTGCCAATTCTTAAATAAAGTCATGTTTGCATTGACGGGGCAATAGGAATAAAAAAAATTGAACACCATCAGGGTATGCTTTCTGCACTTTGGCCAATGATACTTCACTTGCGTTTCTAAAGGCCCATGTGCTTTTCGCCCCATTCACAAATTTTTAAAACATTTGTGGGATCACTGATCATTATCTTCACCTTTTAGTGGCCTGCCAAAATAACTCTTAGCCTCTTATTCTTAATAACCTTGAAAAGTACCACCAAATGAGGTGAACTTTAAAAAAAAAATGTTTGGTTGTCCTCTCCCAGCTGACTAAAAATTGGCCAGACTTAAAGACTTTTTTTTACATTCCAGGACACAATATTTTTTTTATTCCTATCAACTCGTCAACGCAAACATTACTTTAAAGATGGCATAAGACAGTCTGTTTTTTTGCATATTTTCCCATATGAAACAAAGTTTGGTTGAAACTGGAAACCGAAAATTTCAAGTTTTTGTTTGAAGATGTTATAATACTGAGTCTCAAGCTTAGATTTTTACTTTGTTCACATAATAAAACTAAACAAAACTGTATATTTTATTTTCACCTTTATTAAAAAAAATAACTACCAAAATTGCCTTTTAGTGCAAAAATATATAAAATACAAAATGTAAAGCTGTGTTTAAAAAAAAAAATTGTCATCAAGTCATGTATATAAAATTATCACAAATATCTGTGCTTCATACAGAAAGAAATCTATTGCCCATCCTTACTTCTACGTGTATATATTACATTCAATGTTTAACAATCTATGACCTATAGACACGATATTA